GGTACAAAGCTCAATAAAAATATTAAAAAATAAAATGTTAATAAGCCACAATAACAATGACAAATACGTTACTTTTTTATTTTTGCGCTGTGCTAGCTGAGTATAACAAGAGAAGAGAATAGAGAGAAATATGCATGTGGTTTGTTGATGACCTCTAAGCACAAACGCGTGAAAGGCAAACGAATGGTATTGTTGATCAACTTAATACTTTAATTAAACATACTTATTATTAAAATTTCATTTTAAAAATACCACAGTGTCCTACTGTGGTAGAAATATGTAAGTTTAAAACTTGAATCGTAGAAATCGACCCAGTCATCGGCTGTTTTGCTCTCACGTTTTTTTTGGGAATTAATCTATATATATAAAATAATAGCCGTTTTTAATGTTCGGAGTTAACTCACCAACTACTGCATAGATTTTAGGAAAATTTTCAGAGGTTATACCTTGCATACATGGTCCTATTAATGGAGGCTACCAGAAAACTCGCTAGGTGGCGCTGAGGTCGAGTTATTTATAAAAGTCGTCTTTATGAACCGATTTCGTTCAAATTCAAAACGTGTGCTACCGCTATGATGGAAAATACGTATTCGAAAAATAGATCCGCTAGGTGGCGCTGGAGTCGAGTTATTTATAAAAATCGTATTTATGAACCGATTTTTTTTAAATTCAAAATCTGAGCTACCAGTATGACGGAAAATACGTTTGCCAAAAATAGACCCGCTAGGTGGCGTGGGAGTCGAGTTATTTATAAAAGTCGTATTTATGAACCGATTTCGTTGAAATTCAAAGTATTATCTAACTGCATGATGAAAAAAGCATTTGCGAAAAACGGACGGACGGACGGAATTATCGGAGGTTATACCTTGCATATATTCCTATTATAGCCCATTAGGCAACACGCTGGTGGCGCTGGAGTAGAGTTACTTATTAAAGTCATATTTATTAACCGATTTCGTTCAAATTCGCGAAGTGAGCTACCTGTATGATGAAAAATTAATTTCCTAAAAATGAAGCCGCTATATTTAAAAAAACCTGGTTGAAATTCATAATGCGTATTCATTTCATGACAAGCAGTGGTTTTGCAGAAAAGGGGCCTAATGGATTACGCTGCAGCCGAAATATATAGAAACCCACACGGGGTTTGATCTGCTTTGGCCCTATATTCATCTTAGACGAATTTACTTTTCATATGGCTAAATGGAGGACTGTAAAGACCGCAACATTGTGTAAGCGCACCTTTGTCTGACGCCGTCATACACCCTAAATGCGATATTGCACCTACCTCCGATTGACGAAGTTGCTCGGGTCGGCCGTTAGTACAGCAGTAAGACTCAAAGAAACCAGTTCATAAATATTAAGCAAAATTGTAAAAGTGGCAAATTTACAAGAAAGATTCGACCACATCCGTAAAAAAAGGAACACGGTAGGCTTATCAATGGCTTCATTTGAACGATATTTAAGAGATTACACGCCTCATTTAGTCAATGTACGAGAAAACTTTCCATCCTGTAGGGAGGGCAGGATTCTTGGCCCTCCTATAACTGAAAACGCTCATCTGTGCTCTTTAGTTTCCTTATAAGGACTTTTATTGGCTTAAATGGTACATCGGACCAATGTTGAAGTTGCAAGATCATAGAAGAATATTACGCACGCTTGGCAGAGATCTCACAGGTGGAAATAAGACCATCGGTAAAACTCATGACAACGAAAGGGAAAATGTTGACTTTGCAGGCCGCTTCTGCTTTTAAACGCTATTTTTGTATTGGCCAACGCAAAAGATCTTATTAATCGCCGCGAAGCAAGAGGGCATTGGCTAGTTTTATATATATATATATTGGCTAGTTTTATATATAGTATAGATAGATAGATAGATATAGTATAGATTTAAAAAGTTCCAACATAGATCCAATATGGATCCGCCATTTATCATATAAAAAGTTGAAATCGAGCGTACGTACGTGATCTGATTTTAGATAGGTAATCAGACACCTTAAGAACCCTTGATTGTTAAGTTTTAAGCGAATCTAATCTGATTAATTTTTATTTGCCACTATATTGTTTCCACTATTTAGAATTTTTCCAACCTCAAATCAGATTCCTAATAAGCGCCCAAGAAGCCCAGAGGAAAACGTTTCAATCGGGTCTATTCGATTTTAATTTTTTGGCCGCCATATTGGATTCGCCTTTATGAATTTTTAAAATCTTGCTCTTGGTTCGTAATCAGCATAAGAACGTGCTGTTACCTTTTTTTGTTGGTGTTGGGTTCTCCGGGTGGAAAAATGTTGTAAAGCAAAACCTAATTTACGGTTAGCTTAGAGACCATGTTAAATTTTTCAAAAGGCCACTCTGCTTTCAATGTAGGGCGTCTATGCGACATTTAAGACCTTAATCTTTGTAACCCATCCTATAGAATTTTAGTCATCGTACCGTACCGGTTGACATGATGTGGAAATTAATTTTACGCCGCTTCCCTTACATCGCTTTGCTTGGCACGTTCCCGGTCGTGATCAATGCGTCGTACAAAAAATATATTCGTACAAAAGTTTTGGGGAATGGAATTCTCTACAATTTAGGTATTTGAATATGCCTCGTATGGCATTCGGAAATGAATAAACAAATGTTTTTTACTATCATTTTACTATGTATGTATATACTGAGTTGGGCTTTTTTGCGTTTTGCAAGTAAAGTCGCCCTTTTCAGGGATCCAGTGTAAGAAAAAATTCATTTGTTTGGAGTTTGTTTGTCACTCCAATAAAAGAACCAACACTGAAAACACTTTTTAAACAGGTACATAGATAACAAAGTGGTACACTAAATATTTGTAAAATTGTTTGCCGTGAATTGGTTAATCTACGTGAGTTTGCCTTCTTTTCCTAAGGTTTTTGGTACATATAGTATGATTTTAAAGCCGCCTTTAATTTCTCTTAGAAAATGGGATCATCTTACCTATTGTGCATTAGGATAAAAAGCGAAAAATAAGTTCGCGTTTCAGCGCTCCTCGCACCTTCTTCAGATGTCTGTATTTTTTTAAACAATAAATACAACATAAACATTAATAACATACTATTGTTGCAGAAAACAAACTAGTTAAAACAATTTTTAAATGTACCAATTTTCTATACATGAACTAAAATGTAGAAAATAATTTTCCTACTCCCATAAAATTTGTCTTGATATGTTTTGATTTTAAAATTTTAGGAAGTCATTATAAACAATTTATGAAATTTAAAATGCAAAACGTGGGTCGCATTTGATTAAGCTGTTAGGCATCTGTATTCGCGGATGTCTAAAATTCCACATTCGCAATATCCCTAGTATGTAGTAGTTGTATGCATACTTTTAAGTTTTTAAAGTTAATTTTATATTACACAAAAACGCTCTGTTTGCAGTTATTAACATTCGAATATTTAATTAATAATAAGTGGCAAACCTGACAATAAGTTGTACTTTCGGGATCAACATCCACAGTTGACAGATAGTCCCCATGAGGGTCTTCTAAATTTGGTTGCACTGTGACCGTGTACAATAACTTCTCGCGAGGTCCATTTCGCATTGCTTCAATAGGACTCCTATAACCTGGTCCATGGCAACAAACTGGAATTAAAAGAAATTGAAACTGTCAGTAACTACTTATATTATAATATAAGGTCTTATAATAAATATAATGCGTTTTTTTAAGTTAAGTTTCTTATAATAAATATAATGAGTTTTTTAGGTTTTTTTTCAGATTTTGGTTGGTGAATGCTTCCTTCCCCATATCATTAGCAGGGTTGGGCACTATTGCACTACCACTGAGTTGTACTACCACTGTAAAATGCAGAAGTCATTAGCACTGAAAATTTAGTGATAGTGAAACAAATTTGCACTGTCACTGAAGGTTTAGTGATAGTGAAAAGCAAATTGCGCTACCACTTAATATTTAGTGAAACTAGCCAAGCAAAGATAGCCAATTTACATAGGCAAGTGGAAAACGCTAATCCTAAGTTATGTTATTTGTACCTCCAACTCCAAACAGGTGTAACAAGTGTAACGCTATTACACTTAGTAGCATTAAGCATTACATATCGTTGTTGATAGTTAAAAAGGGTAGAAGCAATGCAGTGCAATATTAACTTAAGCACGCATACTTTCAATAAAGAAGAATATGCTAAAGTAATGTATACTATCGCAGAAGAGAACAAAATATGTGTTTGCTTACTACGTTTAGCTTCCGAAAACTTGAAATTTCTTAGGGCCCATCTACATAGAACTTGGTTTGACAGCACGCGCTTTAAAAGTATGCTTGCTACAATGAGCGCTTGGCAGCGAAAGCTTTTATCACTAAATAAACATACTAAAGACTTATAAAAACGATATTTCCTGCCCGCATTTGAATAACTAATAAATAAAATAAAAATAAAAACTTTTTAATATACAACGCTTTGATAAATGGACTAAAAAGTAGAAAATAATATTTCTCAGTCCCACAGAATTTGTTTTGATAACTTTTGATTTTGAAATTTTAGCAAAGGTCATTATAAACAATTAATGACATTGAAAATGATAAGCGTGAGGCGCATGTAATACGTTTGAATTGATATGAAAAGCAACATATGTATGTATGTGGGCATATGAATAACGACCGCTTAAAATCGATCTCAAATTTGTACTTTCGCTGTAGAATGTTATGTAGTTTGAATATTGTCAATGAAATCGAATGCTTTGTACTGCATGCGCTCCACGTTTTTCGTTTTCAATGGCATTAATTGTTTATAATGACTTTTGTTAAAATTTCAAAATCAAAAGTTATCAAAACAAATTCTGTGGAACTGAGAAATATTATTTTCTACTTTTTAGTTCATTTATAAAAGCGTTTTATATTAAAAAGTTTTTTTTTTTACTTATTTTTGGGTTTATGTGGTTTTGATTGAGTACGGGATTGCGAGCATTGTTGGTGCTGGCTTGAATTATATGAGTACCCAGCTATTTATAATTTCACCATGGGGTAATGATCGTTCATCAACGTTGTGTAGTATGGGTGTTTATTCCTCGCTCCCAAAATTTTCTTACCCAAACAGACCGGCGTGTACGCGAATCATCCACTTCTATTTTTTTAATAACAGAGTCGATCGAAAAGTCGAAAGTCGACTTTCTAGTGAAGTCGAACAACCCTAGAGCAAAAAGGCATACTAATGCTTTTCATAGTGGATGAATTGGCAGACTAACTCATCAACTGGTATGATGCTACTAGTATTTCTACTAGTAGATGCTGATGCATAGCCTGACAATTGA